TTACATTCAAAACAGCTGGACAAAGCAGCCTTACAGACTACAGCCAGGATTTCTGAATCTTCTTCTTATCCCCCATGACAGCGCCCCTTACCAGTAGGAAGTAGTTTGGAAAGAACAATGCCCAAATTCCCAAATATTGTCTATAAATGTTTGTTTTCATTTAAATAGATTTGGTTATATAAAATAAAAATAATATTATGAAATAAAAAGAAAGAAATTGTGAAAATTTATGGTGTATGCAGAAATGAAATTAAAGGCTAAAGAAACTTAAAAAAAAAGAACCAACACTTTGTTACATTTATTCTTAGTATTGTTTTTCTTGTTTCTACTTTATTGATTTCAGCCCTCAATTTGATTATTTCCTGGCATTTATTCTTCCAGGGTGAGTTTTTGCTGCATTTTTTTCTAGAGTTTTCAATTGTGTTGTTAATTTTCTGTGACTATTCTCCAGTTTCTTCATGTTGGCACTTAGTGCTATGAACTTTCCTATTTGTAGTGCTTTCAAAGTGTCCCATAAGTTTGGGTATGTTGTGTATTCATTCTCATTGAATTCTAGGAAGTCTTTAATTTCTATCTTTATTTGTTCCTTTACCCAGGATTGGTGAAATTGTGCATTATTCAGTTTCCATAAGTTTGTAGAGTTTCTTCAATATGTTATTGTTAAATTTAACTTTGAAGCATGGTTTTCTGGTAAGACACAGGGCTTTTTTTTTTTTTTTTTTTTGGTTTTTTTTTTTTTGTTTTTGTTTTTGTTTTTTTTTAACCTATTGACATTTGCTGTACTGGTTAGTAAGTGATTGATTATATGGAAGGTTCCATGTTTTGCTGAGAAGAAGTAATATTCTTTTATGTTTGGATGAAATGTTCTATAAATGTCTGTTAAACCCAATTGGGTCATAATTTCTCTTAGTTCCTTTGTTTCTTTGTTAAGTTTCTGCCTGGTGGGCCAGTCTAATGTTGAGAGTGATGTGTTGAGATCTCCCACTAAAAGTATGTGAGATATTCATGTGCTATTATTTGAGTTTTAGTAATGTTTATTTTATGAATGTATGTGCCTTTGTATTTGGGGCATAAATGTTCAGAACTGAGATTTCATCTGATGGATTTCTCCTGTGGTGAATAAGAAATGACGTTTCTTATCTCTTTAGATAAATTTTAGTTTAAAATCTGTTTTTAGATATTAGGATTGCTACACTCTCTTGTTTCTTGGGTCCATTTGACATGCGTCTTTGAAGTTGAGTCACATTTCTTGTATGCAGCAGAAGGATGGATACTCTCTTTGAATCCATTCTTCTAACCTCTGTGTTTTTAAATTTGAGTTAAGGCCATTAATATTGAGGGATATTAATGGTCATTGATAATACCTTTTTGTTTTGGATTTGTTGGTGGTAGTGGTATTGTGTGTGAATTCCCACTTCATTTTTCTTTTGGCTGTTGGTAAAGTAGGATTATCTCTTGTCTGTGATTTTGTGGGTGTACTTGACTTTTTTCTGTAGGCCTTTTGCTTCCAGAACTTTCTGTAGTGCTGCTGGATGAGTTCATAAGTATTATTTAAATCTGGTTTCATCATGGAATGTCTTGGTTTCTCCATCTATTGTGATTTAAAGCTTTGCTGGGTACTGTAATCTGGGCTGGAATCTGTGGTCTCTTAGTGTTGATAGAACATCTATCCAGGACCTTCTGGCCATCAGAGTTCCCCTGGAGAATTCAGTTGTAATTCTGATAGATTTGCCTTTATATGTTACTTGGCCTTTTCCCTTTGCTGTTGTTAATAATCTTTCTGTATTATGTATGTTTGGTGGTTTGATTATTATATGGCAAAGGGACTTTTTTGTGGTCCACGCTACATTGTGTTCTGTAAGCTTCTTGCACTTTCATTGGCATATCTTTCTTTAGGCTAGTAAAGTTTTCATCTAAGATTTTGTACCTTTGAGTTGGGCTTCTTCAACTTCTTCTATACCTATTATTTTTAGCTTTGTCCTTTTCATGGTGTCCCATATTTTCTGGAAATTTTGTGGCAGGGATTTGTTGGACTTAATATTTTCTTTAACTGATGAATCTATGTCTGCAAGTTTATTTTCAATGCCTGAGATTCTGTCTTCCATCTCTTATATTCTGTTGGTTATGCTTGCATCTTTACACAGCTTTTCTATTTCCAGCATTGTCTCAGTCTCTCTCTCTCTCTCTCTCTCTCTCTCTCTCTCTCTCTGTGTGTGTGTGTGTGTGTGTGTGTGTGTGTATGTGTGTGTGTCTGTGTCTATGTGTTTTCTTTTGTTTTTGTCTCTATATCAGCTTTCAAACTTTGCACTGTTTGAACTGTTTCTTGCAATTTCTTCCATTTCTATAAAGTATTTTCTCCTTTCCTATTTTAGGGTCTCTATCATTTTCATGACGTTGTTTTTAGGATTGTTCTCTTCTGCTTCATCTATGTTGGAATGTTCAGTTCTTGCTGGTGAGGAGTCCCTAGATTCTGGGAGCATCATACTGATTTTTCTGTTGTTGACTGTGTTCTTACACTGTTGTCTACCCACCCCATCTTCCAGTGCATACCTGTGGGGTCTCTCTCTTTCCTGATGTGAACCAAACCAAGGATCTCTTCTGGTGGGTGCAAGAAGGTCCAATAGTCTGATGGGTCTCCTCTTCCAGTGTGTGGAGGTGGGATTAGGGCACTGGCAGACTTTGTATGGTCTGCTGGGACATGTTCCCCTATGGGCAATCCCCAGTGTTCAGGAGGCTCTGAGCAGGCCACTGGAAGGGACACCTAAAACAGGCTCATGCTTAAACCTTCCCAGGAGTGGAGGTGGGAGTGGGACACAGGCAGACTCTGGAAAGGCCAGTCTTCTGGGATGTGCTCCCCTACATGCAATCTGCACTGCTCAGGAAGCTCTGAGCAGGGCACCAGAAGGCAGGTTCCTTCTAGGGGTGGAGGCAGGACTGGGATACTGGTAGACTCTGGACAGGTGGGTTTCCCTGGTTGGGCTCCCCCATGGATTTTCAGGTCCCTGGCCTCAGGAAGCTTGAGTAGAGCCCTGGAAAGCAGGCCAGAGATAGGCTCTTGCTTATCCCCTTCCATGACTGAGGGGTGAATAAGTTACTGTCAATCTCTGGTCAGGATGGTCTGTCAGGATGGGCTTCCCTATGGGTCCATTGGTCTCAGGCAGTGCCATGGAAAGCAGGCTGGAAACAGGCCTAAGCTTGTCTCCTACTGTCTTTGGAGGTGGGACCAGGATATTGGCTGACTCTGGATAGGCCAGTCCATGGGGACAGGCTTCCCCATATTCAGTTCTCAGTCTTCATGAGTTTCCCAGGTATATAATTTTTATTTCATAGAATTATTCAAGTATAATTAAATACTGATAAACTTGGCAACCTTCTGGTATTTAATTATTGAGATTACAACGTTGAATGTCATTATGAAATTTTACGTGATTTAAAATAAAATGGTTCCAAAGAGAGTAGCACTATTGGGAGGTGTGTCTTTGTTGGACTTGGTGTTGTCTGGATTGAAGAATTGTGTCATTATAGGGATGGGCTTTGAGGTATTGTTTGCTCAGGCTTCCTTGAGTATGACACTGAAACTACTTTGTTTCCTTCTGATCAAGAAGTAGGCACCATTATGTTATCCTACATGTTGCCATACCCTCCTACATGCAGATAACAGACTAAATACTGAAACTACAAGCTGACCCCTCAATAAATATTTTACCTTATAGGACTTGCCAGGTGTCTCTTCACAGCAATAGAAACCCAACACTGTGGAGAACTCATAACATATTGACTTGAACCAAGTCAAAGCATTAGACCAAAGTTCTGTTGGCACGTATTAGGTCAAATCAATCTTATTGATCCTAGTATAAATACATGCTCATCATTTTTGAGCATATGCATAAAGGTGTCAAAGCAGGTGCAGCTTATACATGTACCAAGATAATAGTGCCATGAAGTTAGTGACCCAGAAGTCCTTCTCAACCACAACTGATAGGAGCTAATGGAGCAATATCCATAGTAGGAAAAGGATCATAAAGCATGCTTTATCAGGAACTTTCCTGTAACTGCTGTTAACATATCCAAAATAAAATATTGTCACTCTAATTGTCATGTCTTATTTGGCTCTTGGGGAAATTCAGTGAAGATATATGCTTACTGGTGTGTAAAGGCAAATGACAACCATTTCACTCAAATGCTGATTTTATCCATCTTTTCATTTCTTTCTGTTTTATAATGAAAGGTTATAAGTTGTATATTTTACAATTCTAACTATCCTTTAGTTAATTATTTCATGTTGACCCTCTTAGCTTAATTACTTACATTCATATTCTTTCAATAGTTTTTACCATCCGTGATGATCACATCCATTTTTCTACTGATTCACACTAATGTCTTGGAATGCTAAAGATTGAACTATGAGGTTTGTATAGTTACGGACTTTATATAAAATGACAGGAACATCTGTTTTATCATATAGCTAGTCTTCATAGATGAGTATGGCATAGATCGATCGTGGATCAGCTAGGATACCTTCTCTTCTACTAGGGACTACTAAAAATTTTATGGTGTTAATATTTTATTTTAAAATGTATTAAATTGAAAGCCATCATATCATGTTTATTACCTATGAACTTCACAAAGTACTTGGTCTTAGTTTTGGTTTCACTTTCTTAAGCAGAGAAACTGTAGCAAATCACTTTTGATTACTCAATTTGAGAGTCAACATTTTGACATGCCTTACAGGACTGTATCTAGAAACTTTACTGAGCATCAACTTTTCTGTATGGGTTGTCAATCCCTTGTATACTTATGTATATGTTAACAGGTTATTTATAGAACTCACCTGGTTCCTCAGGTTTAAAGAACCAGAGGCAGAACTGACAATATAAATCTGGCTGATGTCCTGAGTTCACAGGCTGTAGTACTCACAGGTTCAGTACAATGAATTTTGTCAGAAAACATATGCAAAGCATTAGGATTCATCTTTTTTTTATTTTTTCTTCTTTTTTTCAACATGCAGGCAGCCAAGGCAACAAAAAAGCATTTCTTGATCCCCCACAGACTTCAGGTGTGCCAGATTTTCTTCTAAGTTGCTACTTTCCTAAAAGGGTCACCAGTCAGGGAATCAACTTGGACAAGGATCATCTTTATATAGAAAAAAATTTACCTGTTGTTGGTTCCTGGGTAAGAATGTATAAATTATTAAATTGAAGGATGTGTGAAAAAAAATGGCATGAACTATGTAGGCTGGTTGAGTTAAAAAATACTTTAGAAAACCACCTGTAATTAGAAGTATCATTAGTTATATTTATTAGTTATTTCTTAAGCAAAAAGACTATTTATTCTCTGAAAACCTAGAGTGAGTTTTCTACAACCCATGATATCAGGTGAAAGGGGATGGACCAAAGTACCCAAAACATGGAGTATTTCCTTTGACATGTACAATTTCCTTACTAATAACCACATGCTAGACTAACAAACTTTTGTCAAAGTCCAGTTGTTTTTCTTAGAATAGACTTCATCCTTCATCATTTCAAAACCTATGTGCCTATTAATGACATTTGATATTGGAATGGATAAGTTATCCCAACTCCCCATTTTAATGACTTCAAGAATTCTTTATAATAAGTTTTGTCACATGTCTAATAGGAATTCATTAAGACATTTCCATCTTTGTTGTTTCATGCTGTAGTTTTTTTGAATTAAAAATACATCAAGAGGCTCAAGCATTTGTTGGTGCACTTTGGAGAAATTATGGGTAGGAACAGCCTTGCTAGAGAAAGTGTATCACTGTGGGCAGGTTCTTAAAAGTTTAAACACTTATCCATTTCCAGTTCACTCTCTGCTTCATGTTTTGGTTAATGATATATTCTCTCATCTTCCAGCTCCTGTCACCATGAATGATGCTTGCTGGTATGCCTCCATAATACAATGAGTATCCCTCTAGAACAGTGGTTATCAACCTGTGGGTCATGACCCTTTTGGGGTCAAATGACTATTTCACATGGGTTGCCTAAGACCATCAGAAGACACAGATATTTATATCACAATTCATAACAGTAGCAAATTTACAGTTATGAAGTAGCAATGAAAATAATTTCATGTTTAGGAGTCACCACAACATGAGGAAATGTATTAAAGGGTTATGACATTAGGAAGGTTGATAAACCCTGCTCTAGAACAACAAGCCCAAATTAATTCTTTCCTACACAGTAATATTTCATCATACCACTTTATCACAGCAGCAGAAAAGTAACTAATGCAAATGGTAAATTGTTCTCCAACAAAAAATATGGAGTCTAAGATGCTACTTTCAGTTTTAAAGTCCTATTTTATTTCTTTTAGAATGAAAAAAAAGATTTTTTTTTTTATAAAATAATATTTATTCATTTATTGGCACAAACACTGACTACATATTGATGGGACACTATGGAGTTTACCCTGCTGTGTGAGGCAGTAACTATGAGCATTCTGGCTCTGGCATAATACTCACTTACTGTTTCATGTCCACATGTTTCAAGATGCAGTGATAACACAGGAACTTATTTAGGTATCTATAGGATGAAAATGATGCAAGCAATAAAGAGATTTAAACTTCACAAAGGACTGTGGATTTTAAATCCTAAATTAAATGTCTGTGTTGATAGTAGAAAATGTAAGAATGTCCACCACTCTTTGATAGTACTGTCAATAACATTCATAATTTTAAGTAATAAGTAATAGATTTATAATGCAGTCATTTCCCAATATAATATACAGAAAACTCTGCCTTCCAATCAGTTATATATAGCTGTAATTGGTGAAGAAATCAGACATACACATACATTTATAAGATGTGCAGTGTACTATAATAAATATAAAACGTCATGTGTGTGTTCTGAAATGATTACTAAATCTGCTAACAGCATGCACACACCTCATTGCCCTACTTTCTCTCTGTGTGTGGTAAAAACATTCAGCCCTATTCTCTGTGAATTCCAAGCACATACATTATATAGTTGGTCACATAAACTCTGTTGTACATTTTGTTCTTTCAAGTCTTTGCATTTCCCTCTAATTATACATAACGGACTGCAAGAGTAACTTGTGAAATGTTGTGGAAATGTTTTGTTTAGAAAATGTTTTGTTTAGATACTTTGTAATACAGGAAGTAAGACCAATTCTCTAAGCATTATGTTTTAAAAATTACTATTTGCTTTAATGGTTGGGATTTCTTTCAAAGTTTCAAAAGCATAAAGAAGTTCATGACAATTAAATTTCAAAATGTACATAAAGTAGTGAAAGTGGAATGGAATAGGGTATAATTCAGGGGCAGAATACCTCTCTATAATGAGTTAAGCTCTGGTATTTATTTTTAGAGTAGACTATATTTGTGTGTGAGTGAGTGAGTGTGTGTGTGTGTGTGTGTGTGTGTATGCACACATGTGCATGTATGTGTGTAGCTTTGAAAAACTTGTGTTAAGCACTGCCATCACATTGTATGTATTATCTGATATTTCACAATCACACTATACCAATATTACCTAATTTTCTTATCAAATGAAAACTTATGAACAAAAAAATGTAAGCACCTCAGCACAGACTACAGCAATAAGTGGCAGAATTGGGCATAGATGTGGGTAGTCTGTGCTCTCAGAAGAGGTGTCTTTATAACAACTGTGAAATGCCCAATCTTTTTTAGTGTTTGTTGTTTTAGCATTAGGTCCTATGTTTCTGAACTGTTATTACTCTCTCCTCTGTGTGTAACCACATATAGCGAGACTTTAATATCTCTAATCATATGAGGTCACTTTAATGTGGTTTATTTTTCATTTCCTTTGAAGATTCAATTCTCTGATCCACATCTCTGTCCTATATTGACAGTCAATTTTGTATCATCTAAATAAATTTCCACCTTACTTTCTTTCACAAAAGAAACATTTCAGCAAAAGTAAAAGGATGTATAACTATCATTTGAACAAATAAATCACTTGGCATTTATTTATTATTTATTCATTTTATTGAGAGCTACACTGAAACATTATATTTTATCATAGGATAAAATAAGAATTAATGTATTTTCAATAACTTCAGAAGTTGTTAAAAATTTATTTTGAATATTAAAACCTATTAGTAAATGTATTGATTTATTTCTCATGATTAAATTAAATATTTCATAGCATTAGGGAATTTTAAAAATTATATATGAATGAAAGGAAATACCAAACTTTAAAGAAGAAATATTAGTGTAACAAACAGATGATATATTTTACATAGCGTTATCAGAACACAGTCCAACAATGGAGTGCTTGGAGAAGAATCCTTTTGGGAACACTCCATGAAAACAAGACAAGAGTCTTATGATGTCAGCTACCTCAAGACCATGGAATTGTTCCTGGAATGTGTTTCCTTGCCCCTCCCAGGTATAGCATATAAGAGCAAGATTACTTCAGACTACTCATTATTGCTTGTTGTTGTTATGTAATTAAATGCTTAAATTATCCTTTATATACCTCTTGGGGAAACCATGTTTTTGCAGTGTGAAGCTTGTCCTTGGGTATACCACATGAACTCATTAGAACTTGACTCAGGTGACTTTCTTCACCCTTAGAGTGTAAATTGTCTGAATTTATGAATAAAGTTGTCTATTGTATGGGAGTTTATTCCACCTCATTTATTTTCCTCGCAGGCCCCACTTCCCTGAGAACAGTACACAAGTGATGCCCCAAAACGGACATGAAGTCAGCAGGGACCCTGAGAGGAGGTGAGTGAGCACAATGAGGGAGAAACCAGGAAAGTCTTTGCCTTGTGTCAAGCTTGAGCATCACTCTTTTAAAAAAAGAAGAATCACAAACATTAAATTCACAACTCTTAGACTACTTGCAATGTACTTATGATTACAATTGCTGGTATCCATAAGAAAATTAACTTTCGATAAAAGGCATATGGGACAGAGCCTGAAAGAATATACAAAAGGCATATAAACACATGGAAAAAAAAAGACTATTTTTGGGGGGTCACTTAGGCATTAATTTGGATTAGTATTAAATACTTAAGGAAGATAAGGAGGGTATTAATCATGAGGAAGAGATGGTTAATTCATTGAATGGGTATAATCTGGATAACTAAACTTGAAAATTGGTAAAATGTGGCAAAAAAAAAAAAAAAAAATAGATTTTCCTCCTTCAGGCAAAATAGTAAAAACAGTACCACCAATAACTTAGGCTTGAAAGATTCCCCAGGTTTTACTGAAGCCTCCTTTAAATAAAACCTCCATTGCCTGAAAATGAGACTGCATCATGAGGTGGGGAATTTGATGAACAATTTAATCTTGAATTAGCTCCAATTCTGATATGGATTTAGGAGAGCCTACAAAAAAAAGTTAAGTTAACAACCTAGGCAAGCCAGGGCAAGGAAGAAAAAAAGAATTTCCTTTACCGATTCCTCCTAGGCATCAAGAACTTTACTTGGTATTTCCAGTATAATTTCAGTAAAATAAAAATATTATCATGGAATAGACATATATCAGAAACTGTGCAATGTTGGGAACAACTAGTTACTAAAACAACTGTTCACACAACACACACACACACGCACACACACACACACAGTCTGTTAGATGAGATAATCTAAAAACACTTCATATCTTCTAGACATTATTATGGCTTTGTCCTAATTTAGAATAAGTACTTATGCACTAGCAAATTTCTTTAAAACTCTATAAGCAAACATGTCTTTGGATAGTTCTGGCATATTATCACAAGAGGCAAAAAAGGAATTACAGCTATTTGAATCCAGACTAAAAGAGGCCTTTGTATACTGTTTCGATCCTTCACTGCTTTTCAACTAACTTGCTCTTCCCACTAATTTGTCTTCTATAGGTATTATAAGACAAGAGGATAATCCTTTGGAATGGATTTATCTTTACCGTAAGGACCATAAAATACTAACTGCTTATCCTATTCTTCTTAGTCAGTTAGTAAATTGGGGAGAACAGGATGTCAACAATTATATGGATTTGATCCTTGCTGTAATACATTGTCCTTAACTAACAATTGTTTTTTAAAAGTGCTGCAGAACTCTTTGGATTTTAAATTTTCATTTACAGATTACTATGTAGAAATAGGAAATCCTGATCCAGGTGAAAAACTATGGGA